GTCTCTAATTTCCAACAGTTTAGTGGCACGGGAGAAACAGGAAACACGAGTAACAATATTTTCTTTGAAGGAACATATGTATCAAACCCTTTCGCCCCGTCGATTGAGAATGGATTCCAGGAGATGGAAACATTACAAAGTAACATATTTGGTAGCCAAGTGAAAGACGATGACTCTTTTACACGAGAGAATAACCGTTCAGATGATTCTGATCCGAATGATGATGAAGAAGATGCAGCAAAGTATGGTAGAAGAACAGGAAAGGGACCTCAATGCAAAAACCTCATGGCTGAGAGGAAGAGAAGAAAGAAGCTTAATGATAGGCTCTATACTCTTCGAGCCTTAGTCCCTAAAATTTCAAAGGTATATAGTGCTGGACATGATGAGATAGTACGATGGATAAGATTTTTAACTTCATTTTCATTTTTGATACTATATAGTGCTATTATACTGTTTTGCAGTTGGATAGAGCTTCTATACTCGGAGACGCAATTGATTATGTAAAGGAGCTGCAGAAACAAGTGAAAGAACTCCAAATTGAGCTTGAAGGACATTCAGATGATGAGGACGCAAGGAAAACATCAGGAACAAACAGTAATGACAACAATGTCCAACCAGGTGTTACGTACCAAGCTGGAATGAAACGTGCTGCTAAATACGAACAGGAGAAGTATTTGAAAGTTTCTCACAGGGGACCATCTGCCAATGTTGGCATTAACATCTCGAAACAGGAACACGATTCAGAAAATACGAATGAGAAGCTGCAGCTGCAAATGGAGGTACGTATTACGACTAAATTGGATGCAAATCTCATATAACTTTTTGTTCTTTGTATGTGTTAAAACTGATCATGAGAGGAGACATTAACATTTGTAGCCACAAGTGGAAGTCTTCCAACTAGATGGGAATGAGTTATTTGTGAAGATATTCTGTGAGCACAAGTCAAATGGATTTGTGAACTTGTTGGAGGCTTTGAATTCTTTGGGCTTGGAAATAACTGATGTGAACACAACTAGACATACATGTCTGGTTTCAAACATCTTCAAAGTAGAGGTAACTCAAAAACATCTATTTGGTGATTATATTTATACGAGATTTTAACTTTCTGGTCTCTTCCTTTGGTTGTCACAGAAAAGGGATAGTGAAACAATTCAAGCCAATCATGTCAGAGAGTCGTTACTTGAGTTAACACGAAATCCTTCCAGAATCTGGGCTGAGATAGAGAAAACATTGGAGAATGGCAACATAGATCATGATTATCACCACCGCCATCTTCACCACGACTACAGCGACCACTCCCTCCTGCATAACCATGACCCCCAAATGAATCCTCATCCAGTGCAGCGCCTCCACCACTAAGTAATAATTTGGGGGCTGCTTCTTTTTCTCGTTTTCTACGTATAAAGCAGGTAAAAGACCTGAAAATTTGTTCCACAATAAGATGAGACTGCTTGAACTCATATGGCATAATTCAGAGTACCAAATCATTTGTGATGGATAAAACATAGTTACTCCACAAACATTATTTTGTTTATCCAGGCAAAATCCTATCAAATTGCAATGGAATTCCAACATCATAAAGCTTAAAATGACTCGCGTGCATAGGAATCTGCTAGAAGTTTTTAAAAAAATAGGAATCATTTAGATAGCAATTTCATGGCAATACATTCGAGACCGATCAAAACTGAAACAATTTGGGAAAAAATAACCCACTAAACAGCCATACTTTCGCCATTAAATTGATTTAAATATAGCCTTACAAACAACAGTTATTCTGAATCAACCATGCAGTTTAAGCTCATAAAAAAATTCATTAATGTTTATGAAACGAAGGGGCAGGATTTTGAGTTCTAATACAAAACAGAACCACAAATGCTCGAGCATAAAACCAGAATCTCATATGATATTGGGATATGAAGGCAAAAATCCACTGCAGACTAGTAGCCCCATTACCACCAGGTAATTGAATTTTCTTGGAAATTTGTTACGTATTGCGTCATGCTGCAAGAGAGAATCCTGCAGTCCAACCCAATGCAGTTTTGTCATCACTAGAACTCATCATCCTCCTCCTCAGCTATATGCTAAGCGAGCTCTTGCTCTTGCTCTTGTCTCTCCCTTCTCGTTTCTGCACTCTCCTCTTTGTTGGAATTAGCAGGGAATCGAAGGGCATGAACTGCCTCATTGTGCATTCTTAGGCAGAAAGCAATTCATGAGTTGAAAGCACTTTGAGGCTCATTCGTGGAGTAGATATCCCCAGTTTCCTTTGATATCAAGCAACCATTAGCGTGATCTAGTGTAGCATCAATTGCACCATCTCGAATTGCTTTGGCTACAATACTCTCGGAATCAGCAACAGGGTTTGCAGAATCCAATCTCAGCCTTTAAGCAGCATCAACCAGTATCTGGGAGTATGAGATACTGATGTTGCGGAGCCTAGTTCTTATGACATTATGGAGCAACCTAACAATTAAATTGTTAGTACGGTCTGCACAGAAAGTGCTAGCAAACCTCTCAGCAACTGTTATAAACAGCTTCAGATCTCCAATCCGAACAGCCTGAAATTGCGCACACAATTAGAGGAGGTGAACTGAAGATGCTCGCTTTATCTGGAAACATTTTCCAGACACAAAGTTAACAAGAAGGATTTGCTTGGGTGATCCCATGCTTGTAAGCCCTGCGGGCGATATATGCAATGGGTAATGTCTAGACTCATGATGGAAATTGGCGGAAGATAGGTGAACGGAGTGCGACTACTGCCGCACAGGTGCAGAAAATAGTTCCACTGCGAGACTCGAAGAGTCGGCCAGTGTCACTAGGATTTGTCAATTTGTAAGAAAATGTTTTCATATTTAATACCCCATACTCACATTTGTAAGCTTGAAGTATGGCCTGAACTTTTTCCATCCCTTTCTGCATAAAAACAGTTCTCTCAGGAATCTCTCCCAGTAGTAAAGTGGACAATAACAGCTCACTTGTTGCATTGAACTTGGAAACAAAGAGCAGAAACAAATGCTTTCCTGGCAGCTTGGGAAAGGGACTCTTTGGCATCAGTATAACAACTGAATTGCCCTGATCTTTCCAACATAAAAAAGATGACAGCAAAACTGAAACAGATAAATGGAGAGAAAATCAGAATCAAGAACCGACACCTAAATATGCAAAAGTTGGAGTCTGCACTAAAGAAACCAAGTTTTAGAAGATGTTTGATAAAGCAGAGAGAAATATTATAACTACTAGTATGCAAACATGTCATATTTTTATGGAGATTTTCATCCAGAACATCAGAGACACAAATATAATGTCAAATATATACAGTACGGTACCACCACAACAGATGGAGTGCCTGATTAGTTGCCAAAACATCACGACATCACCTGGTCTATTGACTATTCTAAGAGCTTACAATTGCACATCTTATGCTGTTATAGTACCAACAGTTTAGACAGTGCATGTCATTAACGGATGAAAAAAATTCTGTTTAGAATGTAATTTATGCCACGGAGCACGGTTATCTTCTCTATGTATTAATGTTACAAACTACATTTCTCATATTCATGTCTAAATAATAACTAGAGCAAAAGGGTAATGAAACGATCTCGAAACAAATATGGGAATAGACAGTGATTTTGCCGAACAGAGGAAAATAAGATAAAAAAAACAGTGATTAAAAGTGGGTAAAGAAGTTGAGGAACTATAAACTGAAGTATCACTGTTCAAGAAAATAAGAAATGGAAGCATATTCCTTAAAGGTTGATGTGAAACATTAAGGAAACATTGTGCTGAAAATTGCCTTCTGATTTGAGTGAGCTTCAAAACGAGAAACCTTTGAACTCAGCTTCTCCGCTTGATCATATAGGTTGTAGTGAAGGAAATTCCTTAGCAGCAGATTAAGAAGTGTTTCCTGCATTTAGCATACATAAAAGTATGAGAACAACATCATGGAGATACCAAACAAATTGCTTGACCAATTAGTGACAAACCTGTCCCAACTCATCATTGCACAACGTTACAATCCGGTGCAAAGTTAAGAGATTATTATTAATAAATGAGGATCTCTATGAGACATAAACACAACGAAAACCCAAACTGAGCAAGAAAAGCTGGATAAATAACATTCAACTCTTTTTGGTCCCATTGATTATAGTTGTTTCAAAACATTCAAAATGCATGTGTCATCCTCAAGTAGGGGCATCAAAGAAGTTGCAAGTGATCTTAGAACCGATAAAAATATATGCAAAACATATGCGCGTATTTTAGAACATTACAGTAAACAGGCCAATTCAGTAGTGTTAGGATTTTATTATCATCAATATATTTTTAAAAACAGGTGCCCTCAAGAGCATCGATCAAATCCGTGACAATGTGGAAGTTGCTATCGATCAAATTTTCAGTTTAAAGTGTCCCAATAATCCTTAACTTATGTCTTAGAAGTTTAAAATGTCGATTTCGACCACTAAACCGATCCATTTCGTTTAGATTTTGCTTTTTGGATTTTCATGGAGTTTATGCTACTCAAGTCACTTTTCTGTGGATCGTTTAATGATGGTTTTGTCGATTCCGTTACTACAAAGATGTTTCTAATGAAAAAACACTGAATCTTGACTTTTGATGTTTTCACTTTTTTGTGTGTACAGTAGCGTCCGTGCCAACGCCTGTTTCAAAAAATTGTTGCCCAGTGACAGGGAAACTTCCGATGAGCTTTGCAACTCATACTCGCAAACTAAGGTTGTGAACTGAGATCGGACATTTTCGAAGTATGAAAACCTATAGCATTAGCAACAAATGTAAAAACTCGTTTCATAAATTTTAAACATATCTTTTGTGCGCATAAAACATGGCTAGCAGAGTCTAGTGCTAATTATCTGACAACTAAGATACGGCAGATCGATAACTGCATCTTTCCAAGCTCGCTCAATACGAATTATTTCATCCCAAGTCCTAACCGGACCTTTCTCTATATCTTTTGCCTGCAAAATATTTTTGTTACAAAATAGTGCACTACAGAATCTGAATTAATTTCTTAGTTCACTGAAACCATCAAAACCATGGTCATCTTTAAAATCCAAACGACATCTAATATACATGTGCCGAATTTTTAATTTTTGTGACATTTCCTTCGTGTTTCAAAAAGATGCCTCGGGATTATTTTTTCATATTGGGTTTAACTTTTTTTTGGGGAAGATGAGATTTTACATTGATCACACAAGGTGGTAAGTACTTCGTGGAGCTACAGCCATTTTACTAGCGCCAGTTTAAAAAGTATAATAACTGCAGACAAACGGTCACATAAATAAAATTAATGCAAGCTTGTGCTAAAAATTAAATTAACGCTAGAAGACACGGAATGATGCATAGATCGCATATAAAAATTCAGAGTAACACCAACAAATCGGAAGGTATATTGAGAGAAATCCTGAAGAACTTATTCAATGGAAGGAAATCTGACCTCTGGCATACAACGCTAAATTGAGCTTTACTGCAGAAATCGAAATGGGCCTATCCTAACCATACTCGATAATAAATGTGAAAAATACATTGATGAAAGGAAAGAAGTAATAATTTAACTTCATTAGATAGAATTCATGCAAGACTTCATTTAAATCCAGATTCATTCATAGCCAAAATACAAAAATAATTGCAATTTCCATACATCGAAAATCAAATAAAGGATTGGAAAAAAAACCTTAAATTCCAATTAGAAATGAAAATTAATCAGCATGCTGGATGCCTCAATTCCAAAATTAACAAAACATCTACTCACGGCATAACATTAAACTAGAGCTATAGAGCGTTCACCACAAGCTATAGCCTTTACAATATTTAGTGTTTAAACTAGTCAGGACTAAACAAAACAAGAAGCTTGCTGCGTGTACAGAAATTGCACACACAGAAGCCATACAGAATAGACACAGCAACAGGTGGGTAGGGGGATTTTTTGGCATTTTTTATCACAACATGAGTCCCACACGTGAGATTTCTGGCAGAATTCTGTGAAGCGGTTTTTTGTACAAATGGAAATCTTCACAAAACAAAGCAAAGAATGTATCAATTTGCACCCAGTTCAGTCCACCCCCTAGCATACGATAAAAGCCACCAAGAGAAGTCTAATCTTTTACAATTGCACACGACACTCAAAAGCCATTTGCAATGTCCTTAAATAGTCTTTATCTGCTATGAGGAAATTTATCCTCATAATTCTGAGGAAGCTGCATGACAAAAAGTATTTCAAGCTAAAGCCCAGTTTCCAAGTGAATTCAGAGCAAAAATTGAAAGGAGAAAAGGGCGTGTTACCAGAAATGTTGCAGTGATCATCTTTCCAGCAAACCATCTCCCATGGAGCGCCTGCTGTGCAGCAATTGCAGATTGGGTATTTTCAAACCGCAAGTATACAAACCCAGCAGTGTTTCTATTTGTCAAGAAGGGTGTTAGTTCAACATACCAACTTTCAACCAAGGGTATGTTTTCAGGCATATTTCTACAGGGAAGCGCATTTCCAAAATGACAACAAAGTCAAAATTATAAGCCCCTACTAAAAAATAAATAAAATCAAAACCTTTGTAAATTATTACACCCAACCCCAAAAAAAAAAAAAAAAAAAAAAACCACACACAAAAAAAAAAAAACACAGACACACACACAAAAAAGGCCCCTGCCAAGGAAAAAACAAAAAAATAAAAATAAAAAAAAATAAAAAAATAAAAAATCTTAGCTACAAGCAACAAACTATGTGAATGTTTGCCCCAATGCGAGAGAGAAGGAGAGTTGCAGAGGAAATAAATAGGCAATAAAAGAGTTCTTCAACAGAAAATAATGGTGCGTTATTGACAGGAATAAGATCAGAAGATTGAAACAGTATAAATGGCACATGAACTTACCTATCTACATAAATATGCTTTAATGTTCCGAACTTTAAGCACTCATCTTGTACATCTTCTTTTATATCCAGATCAAAATCTGGTTCAGCCTGCAACAAGAATGCATCTTCAATGACACTAGCAGTAGAGGTAAGCAAGGAAAATGTGCTCAACAAACCTCCAATTTTGGATCAAACATGTTCTTCAGCAACAGACATTCACTAGGAACACCAATGGTATCTATAGAAGGAACAGCAGCAGCAGGAACTGAAAGGCCTGCAGCTGCCAACCCCGCAAGTGCAGGGACTGGGGCCTGTCCGAGACTAGCAGTAAGGGAAGGATCTACAGGAGCAACCCCAAGAACTGGTGCTGTTGGCACGGAGAGGCCAGGGCTATTACCAATGGGGGTGCCTAATGAACCAGCAATGCTGCAAACATGACAGATGTAAGAAGAAAATAAAAGCGATCTTAGAAAGCAATAACAAACAGGAAGACTATGATGCACCGACACATACACGTGTACAGTGTATCCGACACGTGTTAGATACACTGACATGCAATTTTTCAAAAAAGTACTGCACACGACACGTCACGTCGTCGACACGATGATTAAATTTTTTAAGATTCTTTATTTATATAGTATAAATTTAATTTTATACTTGTTATTAATTTTTCTTGTTGAATTCTTTTTTAATATGAGTACATATTTGTTATTCACTAAAAACTTTTGAGTTAAAAATATAAAATATTTTTTCTAAAAAAAAGAGATGTTTATGGTAAGAGTGTCGGAGGAGTGTCGGCATCAACACGTGTCTGATAAGTGTAAACACGGATATGCTACCCTATTTGAAATGTCCGTGCTACAAAGCTAGAAGATATTGTACCTTGAAGCAATGCCTGTGCGATCCAATTTCTGCATGAGAAGTGCTCTTGAGTGAGCATTCAAGGACTGCAGACCGTTGACAAAGCAGTTAGCATTTTTTTGGTGAATGAAACCCAAAAATCTCGAAGGCAAGAATGAAGAAAACAAGAAAAATTAGAAAGAGATTATGTGGACATTGCAACATAAGATTATTATACATGAAATATTCAGAAAATACTTTAGGATGTCAAGCTATTCGATAAACTATAAAATACTATTCATCGTATAAATACTCCCAGTTAAAAAGAATATGAACTTTGCATGCTGAAGTGACAAAATTATACGTGCAAATCCATTAGAACTGCCATTCAAATAGTTCCTTTGTTTCCATGAGTCCATAAACACAAATGATAAGAAGTTCCTGACAATCTATAGGAAGCTTACTATCAGTTCTATTACAAATTTCAACAATACACTGTGCCTTAGCTTGTGGGCACAGCTACAGTTTACATGCATGTAAATAAGATTGAAAAGGCTCTATGGGGGGCAAGTCAAGTGGCCCATGGCTCCTGTGTTTAGTTCGTCAAAGGACCATGTATCTCAAGAAGCTGATAGCTTGTATTGTTACGTGTATTTTATTTTCCTTCCATATAGCTTGTATTGTGCTACATGTATTTTATTTTCCTTCCATCGAGTGCCAAGTCCTAATGCACAATTTCAGAATATTATCGAGGTTCATAAATGGATTTGGATAGAACCTTCTATGAATTTTATTTTTATGTAAGAACATATGTATGCATTTAATCTTTGCATCTCCATTTTGGGTAACAGAAGATAATTCAATGCACCATATTAACACATCGTCTATAGGGTGAAAGAATTTATTATAAGCATTTATAGAAAATAAAATATGGTTTAGGGGGTCCGCTAATACTCCCAAATAAGTGGCAACTGACCAATCCATTGCCTTCAATATCATCAAAATCAGCAACATTTGCCCCAGCATCTTGCATTGCAGCTTGATCTGTAACAGCAGAGACCTACAGATTGAAAAAGCAAAAGTGATAGATTACCAACATAAGCAAATCTACTACAAGAATTCCGGCAGAAACAGATATATTGTACCCATACACGGTGCGCAAGCAAAGAGGGTAAAATAGAACAAAGTACTACAATAGAGAATAACATGTCAATTTGTGAAATTTACGAAAATTAAATATTTTAAAGCTATGCCCTTTTATTTATAAGATAAAACACGCATGCAAACTGCTCAGAACTTGATCAATCAAAGCTGGACATGCTTCTTTTGTACTACAAAGATATAGGACTCAAGAATTCATAAAATCAAAATCAAGAGAATGTTTATATCTAAGCATGTCTAAATCATTTCCATTGTCACAACTATGGATGTTCTAGTGATGAAGCAATTAAATGTAACTTCCCAAAAAAAATTTTGGTATAAAATTTATTTATTCTATTTTATTTTGAAAGTTGAGAGACTAAGATGAAAATATATTAAATTCTTATATTCGGTCAAATAATTGGATTTTGATAGAACAAGGATAAGGCCCCGTTTGGTACCCATTTTTTTCAAAATGCATTTTTCTCTCTCTTCTTTTCAATCACAAATTCTTTATTAAAATAATATTACACGTAAATCAAAAACTTCTCCTTATTTTTCAGCCACACATTTCCCATCAATTTACTATTTAAAAATACATTTTCACATAAAAATATCTCCCAAACACCCTCTAAGTATATCAATATTATACTCGTTGGATAGCTCGTATTTAATTTGTATTTTAGGCTCAAGAAAAAGTTAATTTGGTAAAGTTAGGCACAAGATATTGTAGTTCTAAGAATGTAACATTTGTTGGTAAGTAATATTAATTTAAATAATATGTTAGCCACGTGTAAATAATTTCTTACTTTTGATTAGGATAAAAAGGCCAATTGTTATCTAATTAGAACTCCTATTTACTTTATTGCTATTCATTTAAATTAGAATAGGAGAAAATTCCAAAATCTAGGCCGTGGAGTCGAATCATATCAGTTTGGGGCAGCCACGTGAGGTAGAGATAAATTGAGTGATAAAGGCAAATCTTGCAATGACTTTTGATTATAATAAGGCATTGGAAGACATGGACAAGTTGGGGTTTTTTTTATGGTTTATTAGTTTTGAATTTTCAGATTGATATATGGCTGCCACGTGTATTTGGATAGAGATAGTAGGGTTTTTGTTTATTGAATGAGATAATAATAAAGTGCATTTTTATCTACTACTCTAGCCTACTACACCTATAGATATAGGCATGATGAAATAGTTTTATTCACATCAATTCTGATAACACATATGGCGAGAGAGGAAAGAGTGTTTGAAATTAGAAATTTTCATACCTCAACTATTATTGTCGGTCTATAAATCTTTCATCAGAGTAGAGAAAGGAATTTTGGAACGTGCATTCAAACACTTTTTTATATATTTCAATAATAAGGTAAGATAATTTATGTGCAAGTGTTTTCTGTTTCCTTCTACTTTTATATTCAAGTAAATATGCATGGATTGTCGGTGGACCTTAAGGTTTTTTTTAGAGATATGAAATCTTATGGGATTATAAGAGGACCTAAGATAGGTATGCCGTTTGGTCACCGATATACTCCATAAGAGCAAAATAATATGAAATGTATAATGTTTATTGTTATATATTTGTATACAGAAACTGCATGTATTTTACTGGGTGTGTTCGAATACTCACTCTTACAAATTTTTACAAGTTAGTTTGGGTCGATTGGACTGTGGTAATTGCTAAGTGAATCGAATAAAGGAAAAAAAAAATAAACAAGTAGTTTGCCTCTCTCTCTCTCTCTCTCTCTCTCTCTCTTTTTAAGCTTTAATTGTTCAAAAGACCCACTTGTTTTATTAGTCATTTGACTACGCTTAAATCTTTAGAAACTCAGATCTCGTGTTTTAATTTATGCTTGGTTGAAAATAAAGAATTTATTTTATTTGTGTCGCTCCGCATCTATTAAAAGGAAAAATTGAGCTTTTCGTAACGCTCCAGTGTTTATGAAGATTTGGGGAGTTACATTAACTATGCCAAAATCAATATGATAAATCATCAATTGCATGCACACAATATGATCTATTTATAGTTAAATATGCAGGTGTCCCTGAATCATTAAACACATCCTAAATGTATCACTGTATTACCTTCTCTGACCAAAGTTTCCATAATGCTTCCTTCCCAGCCTACTATTCCTTTATTACACAAATTCAGCAATCATTGATGGTTCTAATTACCAGTCAAAAATAAGCTCAATAATACCTAAATATACGTCAGACGACGAAAAAGGGGTCTACTCAAAAAGAGACCTTCATGTCATAACGTAAAAACAAAGGTCTAGCACAACTTTTATGCATCTCATCTCCCTTAGAAGTAATTGCATATAAATGACATTAATGTAGTATAGAGTTGAAGGCAGAGGAAATAAATTACTGAAAGTTTCATTACCTTGATTACTCGACCAGCGATCTCCAGTTGGCCGTTTAAATTTTGTGCAGCCTTCGCATCTTCAAGACGTGCAAACTGCAAGGGAACTATGTTATGTTTACATTCACTATCCATATGTTGCAAAGGTTTTCACAGAATCCAAATTCAGTACTACTGTTATGTCACGCAAATATTAGGTCTGACAATGGTTGTTTCTACCCCCAAAGCAGATTTTCTTTGCGACTAGAACAGCAAACTAAACAAACAAACTGTCCTCATAATGCTTATATTGGAATATATCAAACTCACCTGTACAAAACCATAACCTTTGCAATTGGCAGTTTCAGGATCAGTGGGCAGCTGCACCAACTCCACAGAGCCAAAAGGTTCAAATACCTAAATTTTTATGTGCAATATATGAATCTCTTTCTTGTCAAAAAGGAGAGAGGTCAAGACAAAAAATAAAAATAAATAAAAAAAGCAAAAGGAGAAACTTAAAAATATCTCTAGATTTCTAGTCATAAAACCATGTTAATTTCTCGCGCATAAATATAACTACCTGACGAAGTTGATTTTCTTTTATGGCAACAGGTAGATTGCCAACATATAGCTTTCTATCCTCCGAAACAACAGATGTAGAGGACTGAACAAGGTTCTTTTCAGCTTCTGATGGCTTAACCATCACTGGTACACCAAGTAGAGGCTGACCAGAAAGTGCTATCGCCATAGGAACTGACATTACATCATAAAATTCAATATACCTGCAGAAATAGAAATAAAGATTTGAAGGATATCTTCACAAGCATGCTTTATGAAGGCTGTATCGAACAAATCCCTGAACCCTTCAAAGTGCTAAAACATATATAATGCTGACATTTCACAGACTCAATAATTGAGTTCATTCCAAAGGACAATGTCACTTGAATTCTTCAAGCATGACTCAAATCTCTCAAAAAGCCAAAAAATCATACAATCTCTCTCAGACTACCAAACATTGAACTACAAATCCAGAGCACGTGAAAAAATAAAAAATAAAAAAAATAACTTATAGGGAAAATTCCCCAATAACTCTGGACAAAGACTGCTCATTGTTTTGTCTAACTCATTGTCCCTAATTATATCTCAGTTGTCTGTGTGCTTTTCAACTTTGATATTTAATTTCATGAAATGCATCAAAAAAGTTAACAAGAAAGGTTATTATGGTCATACTAAATCCAAAATTATTATTGCTAGATATGGCAGTTCCTAAATTCTGCTCATCCGCTCCTGAGAAATATGTTCAAAGATATTATTGCTTGACAATATAACTTTGTAAAGATGACAACTGATGGAATCAAAGTAACAAGCATCGCATATTCGAGAAAAAATAAATAAGTTGCATCTCCAATAATATATAACTAGGGAAGGAAGGATAAGTATTTACCCAATTCCTTTGGAGCGTCTGGAAATGCGGTCCATGATGAGGTGTACGTCTCTGACCTGAAATTGTCAAATAAGTCATCAGTAATAAACTTAAAAGAGAGAAAAATACGAGGACTTCTGCAATTAAAATTCGATGGTGAGTATCATCATCAAAAAGGTAAAATGCTGCAGCAATAGTTTAAAGCGCTTAATATGGATGTAAGCAGTAATGAACAAATGCAGCCAAAAAAAACTCCAATAAGTTAACATATAAATTAATGCAGGAGAACTATTACAGACAGTTTATATATTAACAAATCATGCCACAACAGAGAGTATCAAAACAATATAGGTCAACCTTGCCAGCCTTGGAGAAGAATTCATAGATATCTCTTTCAACTGCCTTCAAAGAAATCTGGAAATTGTACCAGAGAATGCGTGAGACCTCCAGATATAAGCCTAGTATAGCAAGAATAGCTTAATTGTATAGCTCAACTACCTGGTAAGCAAAAACTGTCCGTTGATCTCGTTCAGGATCTGCTTCCGGCTTTTCCACTTCTTTCTTTTTCTCTTTGTATCTTCTGTGAAAATCAATTAGAAAACAAACAACTTATGTCAAATACCAATTGACCCCAATCACTGATAAACTTGCTAATTATGTAATGAACAGCAGCCTGGAACGTCCACATAGCAAAGTTTGCGTGAGTGCTTTACTCCTTAATATACATAACATATTCAGAGAATTCCTCAGTCATAAAAGAGAAAATCCCTAAGGGAGGCAAGAATTTCTTCTTAAACTGGTTAAAGCCATGTATTATACTCCTGCATGTGAACTCCATAGAGTCAACAAACTGTATTAAGGTTTGCATTTGGTCAAAACAAGAAACATCTTGATGAGAAAGCAATGAGACAAACCTGGGGAACAAAGTAGCAATTAAGAGAAATGAACACTGAAAAACTGCAGGCATTGAATTAACAACAGGCTTGTCCCTTCTATGCTGAACCTAATTTTACATTTTGCACCATCGTATCAAAGAGCAAATTTATTATCATAAATGATGGAAAATATATCGAAGTAACAAAACAACCTAGAATAACCAAAAGAATTTCCCCAAATGCTCAAAGATACAATTTTTTACGTGCACAAATATAAACAAAGATATAAAATATAGCCAAAGCAACCAATCAAGCACATCCATTACATCTTTCAAATGTTATTTTATCTCAAAAGCAGGAAGAAGAAGAAAAATAATGTTGTGCAATTGCTACACAAGTTAACCACTTAACAGAGAGACTGCTAATGGAATGAATTATCAATCTAATGGTACACAAAAATGCCCCTAAAATTCAACTTCACACGGTTGAAATTTTTAAAAAGCGACAAACATGGTAAACACTTGTTTCATTCAACTTAAATTAGAAGCTAGCAACCCTATGAATATAAAAATGAGACTAATACATACAGAACAAGAACAAATACAAAGAATAAGGATATAAGTGGGTAATGGGAATCGAACCCACTCTTTAGCTGGAAGGCTAGGGGTTACATCTGAAGTGGATTCAGCATTCTATATAAAATACATACAACCTTTTCCATGTGTTGTCATACATTCACACACTGTGTACATAAATATAAACTGTCACAAAAGAATAATGAAAAATATTTCCATGGGGAAAAATTAAAAATAATAGTACAGAAACTCCAACATAGAAATCTGCAAAATAAGCCCCTGTTTGGTACCGATTAAAATCTAAATTTCAACCACATAATTTATGGGTCCCACAATTTTTCTATCACACATTTCATCAACTTCTATCGAAATCTACTAAAAATATGATTTTAATCTCCACCAAATAGGGACTAAACCTTATTCTACATAAGCATCCGTAGAAATGAACACATTACCATCTTTACACACTACAAGAAATTTTGAACTCGATAAAGCTGTTTGTGACTGGAATCATTACAATTTGTGACATGAAAAACATTAAAGTATAATAATCAAATAAATAGCTTGAAAAAAGCATAAACCAACAGCTAGACCATCCGAATTTTTCCACGGCATATTTATCAAGATTTGAGAGGTCAACCGACCAGTATTTAGCTTCAACTCCATTTAGAACTAGTACCTTCTTACAAAAATAACCTAAAGTGAAATATTGGATGAAATAATAACCATTTAATATGTTTCAACACCAATTTCCTTCTAAGAAAGATAGGGTAGCCAGTGTCTAAACTGTCAATGCAAGAAAAACAACAAAGATATGGAATGAACCAAATTAATGAAGAAAGAGTACATAAAGACCGACTTAATTTCCAAATACAGAAAAATATAAGCACCAATTTCGATGATTGATACACATGTTCAAATCAGTATGTTCAATATAGAAGAGCAGGAACACTACCTGCTTTCATGATCGCGATCTCTAAACTCCTCCCTTCCTCTTTCCTTATACTCCCCGTCTATGCTCCTTTCCACATCCCTACTTCTCTCCCTCTCCCGATCATCCCGATTTCTTTCTGAATAACTTTTGCTCCCCCTAGACCTCTCGCGCTCCCCCTCCCCATGTCTCTCTCTTCCATATTCATGGCAATGCTCTCTCCTGTCTCCATCACGATAAATCTCTCGTTTCTTGCCAATGTCCCTCTCTTTGCCCCTTTCTCTGTCTTTCTCTTTTCCACTGCCCTCTTCCTTGTCCCTGTTTCTATGCTCCCGCTTATGTTTATGTCGATCATTGTCACTCATCTCCCTATCTCTTGAAGATGGGGGATGACCTGAGCTCCTTTCTTTCCTGCTATCATTAAACTCGTCCTTTGACCTTGAATGTTTCCTGTGCTTATCCAAATCATTGTCATTACCTTCACTTTTGAGTTTTGAACTCTGACTTCTATCTTTCTCCTTGGATTTCAAATTGTCCACACCTCCATTCATAATCTCCTTTGACTTTTTAGGTTCGGGATTTTCCACCGTATTCTCTAAATATTCATACTCGTCAAAATCCATCTTTTTAAAACCTTAACTTACACAGGGAGAACCTTCTGAAACAAGAAACAAAACCAGCATATATTAAATCTCAAACAGACATTTCCAGGAAAAATAATCCAAAAAAGAATTAATCGCGAATTTATGGCCCAATTTTCTTAAACACAACGCATCTTTTCTCTGTGGTTTTGTTATGCGGTATACAGATGAAGTTGTGATAATTATTCGGATAAATTTCAAGATACCATAAATTGTTTACATACAAGTTAAAATTGGCGCCGCTTGTTCATTAGAACTGAAACTTATGGCAATACAGTATTAATTCGGTATCTAACAACAGTATTACACGAAAAAACGAAAGAGCGGTGGTTTCAGAAGCGAGAGGGAAGAAAATATTACAAAACCCTAATCTTTACGCGAGCAATCATAGCTAAAAACGAAAATCATGAAAGTAGTATAGCACTCAGCAGATTAACAAGTGTGCGGATTAATCAATCGAGAAATGTTTACCCCTGGGAATGAGAGATATCAGTGTGATCTTGAATCTCGACGATTTATCGAATTGCAGAGAATTTTAAGGGGTCGATTACATTTACAAGAACGCTTGCTAGTTGCTTCTATACGTCAGTGCGGGAAACGGGATGAGGCTGAAACTGGAGCGGATCCGGACCGAGCAGCCCAATTTTGAAAATCATCTTCCAAATTTGGGCCAATTGGCGGGCTTGATAGTTGACCTCGTATTGCTTCAGATACATAAAACCGACATTTCATTTGCTTGACACAATTTACAAATCAGAGTTAGTCACTAACAATTAAAAAGGATCAGACGATTGTGTAAGGGAAAAACCTCTTGAAACAAAGTATCAAAAAATGGTGTTTTTATTGGCGATGACTTTACAATTGAAAAATAAAACAGAATGCCTTTAAGGGACGCAAGCACACGAGTTACTGAAAAGAAGTGTTTAAATCTAAACTAAGAAATTGAAAGTTATATATTTTCTGTTTGAGAGTGTTTGATTCGGGGTCTTTTGCTCTATGTCTTTTCTTCCTTTTATACTCTCTGGATGATCTTTTCGTGATCAACCGCTTAAAAACTGCTTGATCGCTCTATAACTGTCCACTTTCTTCATAGTGGCCAACTTGTCATGGAACTGCCTTCTCTAACTGTTGTCATTACTTTTTGTCGTTCAATCGTCTTCAATTGAATTCTTTGAATCGTGGAACGTGATAGGGCTACTCAATAACTGCTTCATTAACCGCACTTTTGGGTAATCATAACATCTTATGTTTGCTAAGATCCTGGGCGACTCGAAGGTTTGGGTGAGAACAGGGTCACAGCTCTGGGCGACTGCGTGGCAATCCATTCGCTCAAATCTTGGGCGACTTGCAAGCTTGAACGATGGTATTACCGGGTTTATGGGTTTCCCTATTTGGGCCTTTATCCTGAATTGCCTGATTGGGCCATTCTTTGGAATATCTGACTTGGGGATCATCCAATTGGGCTTCATTTCTTGGGCTATTCGATTTGGGCTGAACTTTTTGTGTGTCAACAATTACCCCCAATATGGCAGAATTAATACCAATTATTGATTTTTGCCATATTCACTTTGTATTTCTCAGCAACATTCGAAATTCCAAAAAATTTCAATCATTGTTTTCTTCCATAGCCTGAAAAGGTGCGACGTTTGCAAACCCTTATAACCCCCAAATACACACCATTTCATTGCACCACTAAATCACGCATCATTGTTTCACGCTTCTCTCTCGCAATATTACTGTTCATCTTCTTGCTTCTCTGCTACGTTTCTTAAGCAAACTTCGACAAACTCTAGTTCGTTCCTAATGGCTGCTTCACAATCCCAATCTGGTGACTCCTTCAGTTTCGAAAACTTCCAGAAACTCCTCACTCGGCCATATATAACTCCAAACTTCCTTGCACCAGCCAATGTCGAACTCAATGAGTTTTATCTAGGTCCTTCATTTAACAACGGAGGCCATCGAACAAGCGGCGGTCGGTCAGTTGTTCCCTTGTACTCAAGGCCCTCCGTTTCTAAACTTTTTGTCGCTGAGGCCGCTTCGCGAAAGAGGTATTCGCACTTTGCCTAAATTCGATGTCATTTTCCGTAGATGGCATGCTCGCCTAGTATAATACTTTTGTTTTCCCTCTTTGTCCCATGTCCATTACCTTAAGGGATGTTGGGGCCCTAGTAAATCTGCCACCTTTGGACGATACCATTTTCCCTGGTATTTTGATTTCTGGTGTCGTCCCAAAATTTGATAAAAAACTCACTGAATCTTATTCAAGCCTACAAACATGTCATAACCATTCGAGCGCTGAGCCTTCCCATGCTGAGCGTGTGGGCTTTCTTCAAATTTAGCTTTATAAATACATTTTGTGTGTACCAAGCATGAAGCCCTCCATAAGCTATATACCCATAGCGCACGAATTGACGCGTGGTAGGCCTCTAAATTTGTGTTCTTTTTTTTTAGCTGCCCTCTATAGAGGCATGGCTTCTCTTCAATCCCAATTGAAGAATGGTGCATCTCCCACTGACAGTGGGCCTCTTTGGTTCACTCAAATGTGGTTGAGAGCCTATTTTCCATCGCTTGGTGCTCTATCTTTTTCCAGTCCTTCTGCTAGCTACTATGGGCTAGCCATTGATCCCCTGACTCCTGTAAATATGTCCAGAAAGGACATTTTTTCATTTTTTTATACTTTGGATTCAATCCCTTCTTTCTTTTCTTTTCCCCCTTTTTTGACTCCAAATTATGTGCAACCTCCATCCACTTTGGATAGTGCGAACACCTCTCTATTCGTTTGGATTCAGTTTTTGATCGGGAGGGAGTTGTTCCATGATATTTTGATTGGGATCAATGCCAACTTGGTTTTGGCCAAACTTGGCCCGTTCCCCCTTGCTATTCGAGAAATTTGATAGACCGCTTCCACACCATTAATAAGGCAGAGGTAGAAGTTATAGATGCTCGCAATATTCTTTTGACGAACATCTTTTCATTAGCCCCCCTTCAATCCTAGTCGTGCCATCCATCCCCTTTTTGAACGACTCTGGCTGTCAGTGAAGCGCAAATTGTTTGCGACTGATGCCAATCGTGCTTTCCATTCACTGGACCAGTCAAACATTTCTTCCACCTCTCCTGTTTTGGTCACTCCTGTATCCATTAGGAGTCCCTCTTCCCCTGCTCGTGCTAAACAGTCTGCTCGTCCATCGACTTCTTTTCCTGCCAAGCCCACTGCAGCTAAAAGTGCCCCAAGTCGCAAACGGCCAACCTCAACATCTCCCATTTTGGAGGATGATACTGATGATGATGATGATACTTGAAAATTTTCTATGTGCTGATGGTTTATTTGGATTTCTCAGAAAAATTCAGCCTCTCCTTTGAAGGCTTTGGTGTTGGCAGGTCCTGCTCCATCATCCTTTGCTGAGGCTGCTTCATCCCAACCAACTGATAAAGGGACTACGCTTAAAGAGAAATCTTCAGTCCCAGAATCTTCATCACAACCAATGGATGAGCCACCTTCTTCCCAGGGCGTTGACCCCCTAAACGTCGAAGCAGAAGGTAATTCATTTTTTGATGCTTTACCTTTGCTCGTGCTATTGGTTTTTGATTTGTTGCTTTTTGAGTTCTACAGATGCTCCCATGAGTCTGCCCATTGCGACAAGGTCTTCTTGCTTAGACAATGGAAAGTCCTCACGAATGGTGGAGCCACAGGTGGTAGATTTGGCTGGGGATATGCCACCTTCCAAGATTGCTGATGAGGTAATCTTTGTTTCACCTTTACTTCCACTTTGTTTAGTGTAGTGAAAATCTTCAATGTTGGCAACCTTCTTTGTAGAATGCTGATAAAATTGTGCGTTCCATCCAGGACTTGTTCACTTTCTAGGGGCAAGTCAAGACATCTCACTCTACTTCAGCCAGTCGTCCTTCTGCTTCTTCAGAGGAAGATATGAAGTTCCTCAAGCAGTCGATATTTGAGTATGTGTCCTTCATGGATATGGACATCGATAAGGCTAGTGCTGCCAAGCATAAGGATAAGCTTGAGCATTTGAGTGCGAAATTGGAGAAAGCACTAACACGTCCATCGCTCAACCTTTCTAGTGATTTTAAAGTGACGTTGAAAGTTGTCCATTCCGAGATTCTCTCCTTGCTGGCCAGCAATGTTGAACTGAAGGCTAAGAGTACTCAATATCTTTACACTGTATCTGAAAGATAGTCTTTGCTTCTAGAGATCAACAAAGCTGAGGACGAATTGAAAGAAATCTCTTCCGAAGTCATGATTGAAGACTCTTTGATCACTAGTTTGGCTGCATAGATAAAGGAGCTTCAAGCCAAGATGGACGGCTGCAAGGCGAGAATGATTGCTAAAAAGCGTAATGCCTCCCAAGGAATTGAGCGAACCAAGTCTTTGGTCGAGCAGTACAAGAAGCTGGAAGTTAATGATGATGTTGTGGCTGAATTGAATATCACTTCTTCTAGGCAGAGCGAGGAATAGGGGAGACTTAGGGAAAGAATTCGTTTGGTACGGGGCGAATTGTAATTAAGACATATAATGCCTTAACTTTTTCTTTTTGTAATTTCGTATTGACTTTCCCTTTGTAACCTTGTACTAATATCCATTGCTAATTTTGATCATAACAGCAGCCATCATCGTTAATGAATAACTATTTTAGCTTCTTGTGTATTTATTGACGTTTGTCTTTTAATCGTCAATCGCTCAAGCATTTAACTGCTTTATGCTAAAAATTTTGCACATTTTCTCTTGATATTTCTGCCTCTTTTCCCAAGACTTTGGACCACTTGATTCCATTTGCTAGACACGAATGTGGCTGTTCATATTCTGTCTTTTCACCTTCACCCCCTATAAATGCACGTATACTTCACACTTTCCATCTTCATTTCCATTTTCTTCTTCAAAAAACCAATTTACTGCCACTGTTTGACATTTTGACAATCAATCCAAAACTTTCGTTTTTCATGGAAATGGATTATCTGATCCGCCCATTTTGCCATCTTTCTCGATGTCACCTTTGGTATGGGATATATAGGAAATATTCTTTGGCCAGCAAAGTTCTTCCCATCGTCTCCATGTTCCTTACAAAGAGTTCGATGATGGAAGACAATTTTTGAGGATGCCTGCAAGCCACCTTGTTTGATGAGAGTGCTTCTCAACCTCCTTGCCCGTCATTGCAGTGATGTACTTAGGAAGGCGATGCGAAAGTGCTTCATCTTCCTTTCTGCTTGCTGAGAGTGCTTCTCGACCTCTCTGGTTGCCTTTGCAACAGTGCGATCGGGATGGCGATTAAGGCTAGTACACCCTCTTACTCGACGATCGATCGGAAGATTAATCTGCTCTTAATTGTAGTTTATAGAGCATTTAGCATCTTGTATTTTGCATCTTTGTGATGAACGTTTGATAATAAAAGAATTCATTTGAACGTATTTCACTCTGTCCCTTTTTACTCTACGATCGTTCAACGCGATTGATTACGCTTTTATTTGTTCACTTTTCCATAAGGAATGAACATATTTTTTTAAATATTTGCCATTAATGAACCTCATGTGCTTGGTATCATCTAAATCTTCCAAATGATAGGCTCCATTAGGCAACACATTATTTACTTTAT